TTTCATTAAAATTTGCATAATGTAAATAGTATTACATCAAAATTGGTGTAATACTAGTCATCACACCAAATATTTAGAATATATATATTTTATTATGCCTCATCTAGTAATATAGTTCAACTAGGTGGACCGATTGATATATTGTATGTATAGCTATGATTATCAGTGTATAAATATATAGTATTTCTCTCTAATCAATCTCTTTGTATCTTTCTGTCTCACTAATTAGTCTCTCTCTCTCTCTCTATATATATACATATATATATATATATGGTGTTTAATATAACATTTGGGAGGATGTGTTTTAAAAATTAGGTTAAAATGATACTAGATTATCATTGACGAATATTTCTTTTTGATATATTAAGTAAAATAAATATGGGTTTACCTTATTTACCTCCTTACAACCATACCGAAGCAACCACCCGGTTCACTAACCAATTCAGAAGCTAGCTATCCAGTAACCGTCCGGTTAACGTCCTGCTTAAAATCGACACTCATCTTCTCTACACGATATCGGTGAACTTGATGAACTGCTCCGACGATAAACCATGTATTATTATATTTTGGGTAACATAATCTAATGATAATTTATGAAGACTAAGCAGAAGAACTGCTTTGGGAGACTGTATATAACAAGATTACAAATGATAAATTATTTATGGGTTGGTCATAATATGAGGCTTTAAAATGAACTTATCTATGAAGTTCGGTTTTAGATAATGGGAATGAATCAATAATAAATTTTTTTTTGATATCAACGTCTCTGATTACCCTTTTGGAAGAATATGTTTTGTATTCTAATTTTGATATCATTATGAAGATGACAACATAAATGTAAATTGTATGTATAATCTGTTTTATTTAAAAATAAATATTTAAATATATTTAATATCAAATCTTACCTACTAAAATCTGATTCTAAGTTAAATAAATAAATATCTTTAAGTAACAATTGTTTTCAATGCTATATTACAGGTTTCAGCCATTGACTATTATTCTTAACATATCATATAATTACACACCTTGAACCAAAAAATAATTTAATGCAATCACATAAGATTTTAAATCCAGCCAAACAAAGATAATGATTTAGATTTCACCATAGTTTTATATTAAGCGAAAAATAATATATTCAAATAAAAACAAAAAATAGAGTCCACCAAGTTTTACAAAGGCCCCATAGCCTCGTGGTTATGAATATAAGGGTCATTGTTAAGTAGCGATTGCCTGAACTCCTCAACCTCTTGTAAACGCAGATTGACCTAGAACTCAAATAATTCATTCTCGGTCTCAAGCCATAGATCATCATCATCAAAATAACATGCATAAATGAGTTAAATAAATAAATATCTTTAAGTAACAATTGTTTTCAATTGCTATAATACAGGTTTCAGCCATTGACTATTATTCTTAACATATCATATAATAACACACCTTGAACCAAAAAACAATTTAAATATCTTTAAGTAACAATTGTACGTATAATCTGTTTTATTTAAAATTAAATATTTAAATATATTGAATATCAAATCTTACCTACTAAAATCTGATTCTAAGTTAAATAAATAAATATTCTTAAGTAACAATGGTTTTCAATGCTATAATACAGGTTTCAGCCATTGACTATTATTCTTAACATATCATATAATTACACACCTTGAACCAAAAAATAATTTAATGCAATCACATAAGATTTTAAATCCAGCCAAACAAAGATAATGATTTAGATTTCACCATAGTTTTATATTAAGCGAAAATAATATATTCAAATAAACACAAAAAATAGAGTCCACCAAGTTTTACAAAGGCCCAATAGCCTCGTGTTTATGAATATAAGGGTCACTGTTAAGTAGCGATTGCCTGAACTCCTCATTCTCTTGTAAACGCAGATTGACCTAGAAGTCAAATAATCCATTCTCTGTCTCAAGCCATAGATCATCATCATCAAAATAACATGTATAAATGAGTTAAGAAAACATTTTACTCAACTAACACATTTAAAACTAAACACCATACATAATATACACTTACTTATAAACCTCCAGATCCTCCACATCTAAGAGCCACAATCACCGTTCCACGACCCCTCATGTGTTCAAACCCATCCTGGAAGGCATAAGCATGATCATCAGTTGCCACACATTTTATCTCACTCTCACTATTATGAATAAAAAAATGTGTGCCAATTACACTAATGTAAACATTTGGATGTCATCATATGTTACTTTTTACTTACATGTTGTTCCTTATGTGAAACACCACCTTTGGCCTTGCATGATCATCGAAATGGGCTTCCATGTTGAAAAACACTCCCATTATATTCACAAGATAAGTGTTGTTTTTTCTGTTATTTACATATACATTATCGGAAATTTATTTTAGTAGCCATTATTAGTACCTATGGGATAGTTTATGTTTCTGATGTGAGGGATATCATGGATACACTTGAATTACATGTAATGATGATTGTTTGATGATGTGAACTTTAGTATACGGCGTAGCAGATAGTTTGAATAGAGAGTTTGTTGCCTTGAAACCTAGATATGCATGTTGAAGAACACTCCCATTATATCAACAAGATAAGTTTTGTTGTTTTCGTTACTTACATATAAATTATCTGAAATATATTTTAGTACTCAGAATTAGTACTTATGGGATAGTTTTTGTTTCTCATGTGAGGGATACATGGATACACTTGAATTACATGTACTGATGATTGTTCAATGATGTTAACTTTAGTATACGGTGTAGCAGATAGTTTGAATATAGAGTTTGTTGCCTTGAAACCTAGATAGGCATGATCAACTTCTACCCGAAAAAGTTCCACCCATTGTCTCTCTTGGTTCTCTGATCTATATGAACTTCATGTATAAACGGTCATCTCCATCTTGGTTCCATGCATAATAAAGTTTAAGTATCAAGTTCTTAGTTTGCATTTATTGTATGTTATTAGAAACCCGAGAGACTATGGTTTTACACTTACAACTTCATTCGCTAGGATATAACTCTAGTTGGGTCCAAAACCAGAAACATAGGAATATAACGACTGGATCCTGAGTATTTTCACTCTGAAATTCCATGCTGTGGGCTCTTATTATACACAACACCAGAAAAATATTTTAGTGTGCCATATTGTTAGAAACTTGAGAGATGATCGATGTGTCGTTTCTTTGCTTTTTGGTATTTATGTGTTATTTTTGCAGAGAAATGTTAAGAACATTACAGAGCAAGCTGTATATATGTAAAGGGAGAGAGATAAATGATTTAGTGGAGTGAAGTTTAAATTTAATGACTTGACTTAAAATTACATACATAAGAGAGAGTCAAGTGTAATGATAATTGTCTCAAAGAAAGGCGTCTTTTCTAGAGAAAAGTTGTGTCTGTTCATTGAGTCCGTCAAATCACTCTTAAATAGAAAAATTACTACTAGTAGTTGGGTAAGAGGATCATTAAATTAAAAGGTTTAGCACCTTTTCCAGATAAATTAACGTTATATATTTTCCACTAGTAATTATTCTCTTTTATCTGTTCATTACAGTTTTGGCGGACACATGAAGAACTTGAACTTGACTTCGCTCCCTCCTTCGATGCTTCATCAGATTCTCTCCAAGATAGCAACAAACAATATCCAGGACTTTGGTAGTGCAAGAGTTGCTTTTCGTATGTTCAATGAAATTGGTAGAGAAGATTACTTTCACAGATTTGCAAATCCCATTTTCATGGATGAATATATAGAGGAGGTGAATGCTGTCAAAAAACTCCGAACAACATAAAATGTATACTGTCAAAAAACATAAACTAGTTACATTTAATATAAATATGTAAGTTTATAAATAAAATCACATAAAATGTAGTTTTGTGTAATAAACACTAGACTCTAAATCATAAACCCTAAACACCATAAAATGTATACTGACTAAAACATAATTTTTGTGTTTCGTGTAATCAACCATATACAATAAGATTAAAATATATGATCTGAGACCATTCAATAGTTAGGGATCAAATCAAAATTAGAGGATACTAACCGATATATGTTTGATTAGTATAACTAAAAAACAAATGAAGAGAAATCGAGATTGATTTAAAGCAATTAGGGACCAAACCAAGATTAGAGGATACTAAACAATAGAGGTTTGATTAGTATAACCAGATAATATATTTAAGAGAAATCGAGATTGATTTAAAGTGGTAATTAAAAGTGGTTTACTGGAGGTAATCCTGATAAATTAAAAAATAGATTAGAGATGATTAATGATTAATGTTATGTCACCATTGTGATATAACTAAATCACGTTGTGAAATAGTGAGCTAATCAAATTATAACATTTTTTCTAAGTGTGCTCTCAAATAATATATGATTATCATTAATTAGTTCAAATTTGTAATTAAACATAAGTATAGTTTATTATTTGTATTAATTTTCACAAAATTAGAATTAATTAATATTTATATAAAATAAATACATTTTATAGTATTGTTGAAACAAAAAATACAAATATAAATAAATATTATGAACATAAAGCTACAAAACATTAACAAACATAATATTTAAACATCATATAATTATTTTTTAATTACAAATAATAAAATATAGATATTATCAATCTAGAAATATTAAATAATATATAATATTATTTTCGGTGTAAAAATTGATGTTATAGTTGGAGAAAACAAAAAATGTATGATACCAAAACATTAAAGTAGTGCAATTTCAATATCAAATTAGGTATTATGGTTAGAGATCCTAAACCTTTTTTTTACTTATCACTAAATTCAAAGTTTCTGTGTAAACCACGTCATCAAAATGTAGTCAGCCACGTCATCAAAATGCAGCCAACCAAAGGTTTAAACCACGTCACTGAACCGGATCTCGTTTGTAAACCGGTTCTTTAATTCTGGGAAAAACGCTCTTGACCTGAGAAGTCTCTTCTTCTCCTCCGCTCCGCGATCTGAACTATCTCGTGGAGAATCAGAAGAAAATCGAAAGTCGAAAGATGGGTTGGATCGGAGAAACCATAGATTCAATAAAATCTATTCAGATCCGACAGCTTCTCACTCAAGCCATCAGTCTTGGTTAGTTCTTCGACCGTAATTTGATTAATTGGCATCAAAGTTTACATCTTGAGGGTCAAATGTGATCAAGCGTTACTGTTTTGATTAATTAGTATCTACATCTTGAGGGGGTAAATGTGATAAAACGTTATTGTTAAAGTTTGAGACTATATATTCTGCTTTTTCAAACTCTTGTTCTGTCTGTGTAGGGATGATTGTTACATCTGCTTTGATCATATGGAAAGCTTTGATGTGTGTCACTGGCAGCGAATCTCCTGTGGTTGTTGTTCTTTCTGGAAGTATGGAGCCTGGCTTCAAGAGGGTAACTTGAATTTTGTATGCATTACATTTTGCTGCCAGAGGCTTTGATCATACCCTAAAACATAGTGTGTATCGTTCTCTAGGGTGATATACTGTTCTTGCACATGAGTAAGGACCCTATTCGAGCTGGAGAAATTGTTGTTTTCAATGTTGATGTAAGTTTCCTTCTTCTTCTTTTGTCTCATTCCGTTTGATTATTGTGTCTTTAACCGATTTGCTTCTCCTCAGGGTCGTGATATTCCCATTGTGCATCGTGTCATAAAGGTTACACTTCATCATTATCATCTCACTGTTGCTTGTATTGTGACATCATGTGAGCTTGATTCTTGGGGGTTTTGACTCATATTATAGGTTCACGAAAGGGAGAATACAGGAGAAGTTGATGTTTTGACAAAAGGTACTGCTTCTGTTGATTTTTAAATTTCACCTTTTGATTATTTTTCATAGTGTTATTCGTCACATTTTCATTATCTTTTGGTTGTTTCTAGGTGATAATAACTATGGAGATGATAGACTTCTCTATGCTCAAGGACAGCAATGGCTTCATCGACACCATATAATGGGTCGTGCCGTTGGGTAACTTTAATCACCGAAGCTCTCAATGCATCTATGTGTTTACACCAAAAGCTCTCTGGTAACTCATGAATGGTTGTGTCTGTTTCAGGTTCTTGCCTTATGTTGGATGGGTGACTATCATTATGACAGAAAAGCCTATCATCAAGGTAATACAAAACTCATTCTTTGACCAAGCCCCAAATGAAAAATTTTAGTCTTTTTGGTACTGTGAGTTGAGACATTTTGCATCTTATCTTCTTGTCGCAGTATATTCTCATAGGGGCATTGGGTTTACTCGTTATAACGTCCAAGGATTGATCGACTTATTTGGAAAGGCATGGACTTTGGTGTATCACCCTTCTGATCTTGTTGTTTTAAGAAAAAAAAAATTTCAATTTTAAAGACAGATTTTGTGGTTTAGACCACTTTAAACAGTAAAATCAGAAGCTAGTTTTGGGTGTTATTACCTCAAAATGCATAGTGAATGGACAGTGTGTTATTGTTACAAATGTTAGTGTCTCAAACCCAAGCATGAAGTAAGAAAAGAATATGCATTACAGTTCAAATTCACAAAAGCAACCAGGCAAAGGTTTTGTATAGTATAACTTCTTTAAATTAATAATCTATAAATTAATACACTAAAAATTTCTATCAAATAATATAATTTTATAGTCACAAATTGAGTTTTTGATTCAATTGATATATCGATAAATTAATAATTTTTATAAATTAATAAAAATTGTAGTTTTGGTGTATTATCAACATTATTAACTTATAAAGGTTTCACTATATTTAGAATGCCGTCAACTTCAGTTAGAAGAAATGTTGTATTTTTTGAAAAGTATTTCTACAAAAGTATCTTACTATAAATCTTTTGATTCATATGTACAATAAAACTTCTATAGATTAATAATGTTAGGACTTAAAAATTTTATTAATTTATAAAGATATTAATTTATAAAAAAAAATATTTAGATCTATTTTATAAAATCTATTTATTTTAAAATAAGAAAAATATTTGATTTTAATATTTAGAAATTAATTTTTATTTTTTGAAATTTGATATTTATATTAATTTTATTATATTATTTCGTGCATCTAATATGTATTGCACATAATTTTAATGTGGTTTTAGATATAATATTATTAAATTTCATCAAAAATATATTAAGTGTTAAGGAAATATAAAGATAATTCTATTATGAATATAAAACATACACTATAATGATAAATGGTTACTTATATAAAATATATATACATAGAAATTATTAATTTATAATTTTAGTGCGGCTATATATTTACATAAAAATTTCTAAAAAAATATTATCTAATTATTGTCAAATTTTGATCGGTACAAGTTGGGAACGACAAAATTTATTAATTTATAAAGATTATTAATTTATCGAGTATGAATATTAATTTATTGAGGTTCTACTATAATAAGAGACTAAAAGAGTTAATATACAAAAAGAAAAGAGAATACCTTTCTTCAACCTTTTCCTTTTGCTTTCAACTTTTATCTCAACAATTTTGAAGGTCTAGCAAAATATACATGTTTTGTAATGGAGTGAGAACACTTTCTTTTACGAGAAACCCGAACGAGAGTATCTAATCAGCCATAAACACACAAAAAACGTTGTTCTCCATTAATTTATAAATACTAATGGGCTTTTGTCGATAAAATCACTGGGATTTTGTCCATAAAACCACTGGGTTTTGATAAAAATAATGGCAAGAAGCTTTCTGCATCGAGAGATCCTTAATCTCGACGAGGAAAGGATCAATGGCTTCACGATTTGGTTCACTTATACCAGTTTAGTATTTTCATTTGTGTTTGGTTTATTGGTCTAGCAAACATATTAAACCATTATTACCTTTATCCTCTTCCCTCAAACGCTCATCCATCACATTTTTTTTCATTTTTAAAATAATAATTCTATTAATAATCCTAAAAGGAGGCATCAATGTCAAAGTAAAAACTCGGGTCGAACAAAACGTTATCTTACAAAAGGTTATTTCGCCTCGAACAACTATACCAACACATTCCACACCTTCGCTTTACCATTTGTCAAATACTGATCGATGTTCTCAAACGGGATGTTAGGTTTGACCTTATTGTCTCGGTTGCCGGATTCTCGGTGTCGTTGCATGTTGTAGCTAGCTCTCAGTGATCTCATCAAGCTTTTTTTCGTATTATTAGTTAGGGACACAATGACAATTAAGAGAGGTTCAGAGACTGCCATACTATGAGAGAGCATCCAAGAATACACACTATATATCCCCACCTAAGCCGGAGTAGGTAGGACAAAATCGAGCTTGAAGACGCCACCATACAATGACTACTAATCTCTTTAGACCTGCACAAACAGAAAAGTACACTACCAAATGGAGATCAATCAATCCACAATTGGAACTTAGGATATGCACTTCAAACCAATAGTGACATCGAATATCATAATTGGTATGTACTCAGAAGTTTCTCTTAATTTATTTGAAGTTTTGGAATTTTTTTTTTTTGATTTTTTTACAAAACTCCATAAACTTACATGATTTACCTTATATTATTAAGGTTTGTTAACTTGTTTGTCCACTTAATTTTTGCAAAACATTCATGAAATGTATTTTAATGAAATTGATGATTTTATTGTAACCGGGCAAAGTAAGGCATGTAAATAGAAATAAGTGGTACAACTAAGGTAACTGTATTTATTATGTGGTACAACTAATATTTTTCGTTTTCACTGCCAATGTACGATACACAAACTGCTATGACTAAAAAACTAGTACAACTATGTATAGCCGGTATAACTAAGAAAATAGTACAATTACTTGTTATTTTATTTAGTATTCTTTTAAATGTGCATAAATTTATATATAATATGTAGCTACTATAATTAACACGAATAATAAATCATGTTTTACATAAGAAAAAAACAAACAAATATCCTAATTAATGGTATATGATGACAAAATTTTATCTATTGTATTTGGGGTTTATTAACTATATTAGACATACTATTATGATAAACAAACATCGACATATTTTTACAAAGCTATGAAGTGAAAATATTGGAACAGCCCATAAAATTATGCATATAAACAATTTCTATATTCTTTTGTTATATATTATATGAGTATTACTGGTAAAACTTTGACATTTTAGAAATTGACAAAACCAATTTGATATTCTATATGAGAAAAAACAATCAAATATCCCAAGTGGTATGTACTCAGAAAGTTTCTCTTAAATTATTTGAAGTTTTGGATTTTTTTTTTGATGTTTGTCTTTTTTTTTTTTTGCTTTTTCCTTCTTCTCCACTAAGTTTTGGTTGGTCGTCTTTGGAAAAGTGAGCGCACAAAGAATGAGTTTATATACTAATATACTAATTAAACGTGATTAAAACAATATTAATATATTTTAAAAGTTGTGGATTTTCATTCTTAATTTTAGTAGTGAAACTATGGATGTACAGGAAAGGTTGGTCAAAGATATTGATATCAATAATATGAATACATAGTTGAATGAAAAAGTTTTAGTCCTAAAATTAAGGAAATGATTTTTCCAAACAGCGAAATGATGGCACAATTTTTTTTTCACATTTTTGTATATGTTACAGTTTCAACTAGAACAAAGTGGTCATCTTCTACAAAAACCTTCGGTGTGAATGTTTAAGGGTTTGATCTAAATATGAATAAATTCTCAATGTGGTTATCATAAGCTGTTGTATGTTGGTTGTTCTATTCCGGTCTGGTAGCCCAGACCACCTCAAGTTTGAGTAATAGATCAGCCTTTTGATGGAAAAAAATAAATTGGGTCACCAACTGTACTGGCGTAGGGTCGGATGGGAGTTGGTGGGGTCAGTAGAGTTGGTACGGAATGTTGGTGTGAGGATCCGGTTCACCTACTCCTTTCCTGGTTTAGTTCTCTCGTATGCCTACATTCCCCATGAATTATACCGTAGTTTCGGTTCATTTTATTTTAGAAACAATTACACCTCGGGTCACATTTGAAGTTATTAATTTCATTCTGGTCATATTTTTTACTATTGAAACACTTTTTCTTTCTATTATAAAACACGGCCACCTAACCAGCCGACTAATCGCAATTCAACATTTATCCACGGTAATTTTGACCTAATTGGTCAAAACAATCGGACCCCAATTAAACGGTCTGTTAAACTAATTAATCAATCCATTTACTGATTAATTGACTTAATTAAAGATAATAAAAATCTCAATTTTTTTTTAATTACGAAGATATTTTATGATTTTTATAAAAATCCATATGTTTTATCGCTTCCAATGTATGTGTACCCTATATATATAGAATAATATTTTTCCACTTCTTACTTATCTAATAACCGATGTAGGACTAATTTCTTTGAAGACTAATAATGTTAAAAATATTAAACTGTATTTTGGGAGAGTTGAAGTCAGTTTGGTCAGCGTGACATCAGGGAACTTTGTTACTAGGAGACAACGATTCTTTGTCATTGTTACTCATAGACAACAATTTCTTTGTCTTTATTACTCATAAGTTAATATATATACAGTATACATATAATAAAAATTCAAAAATTAATCTCCGATTTATTGTTTAGGTGCTAGGTCCAACCCGAACATCCGACTAGCGCCTAACGAATTCTTGAATAAGGTTTTCTCTTAATTTCATATTTGTTGTAAAATATTAAAGGTAGGTCTATATATATATATGAGAAGTAAGTTTCGAAATAGAGAGATGAAAGATTTTGATCATACGAGTGAGAAAGTAAAATTATGAAAATTGTGTTAATTATATCTTCTCACATTTAGGTACATACTTCTACTTATAGTAGGGGATTTAATGCTTACTCATCCTTTCTATCGACTTGCTAATGACAAGTGTTAGTGACAAGGATGATGTGAGAGTGAGAAAATTGTCTCTGGATAATCACAAATATTATAACACTTCCCCTTGATTATCCATCTTGTATTATGTACGGCCTCGTTAAAAACCTAGTCATAGAAAAATTCATTGGACTAAAAATCATGAAAAAGGAGTATAGTGATATAATCTTCCCATAGCTTCTTTTTTATAGATCACACAAATGCCGCACTCCAATACCATAGACGTGTTTTCGGAATGTTGTAATGGGAAGAGTCTTTGTAAACAAGTCAGCAAGATTGTCGCATTATCCTATATACTCGATATTCATTTCCTGATTTTTCTCGAGCTCCCATATATACGAGAAAAGTTTTCGAGGGATGTGATTGGTTCAGTTGCTCTTGATATAGTCTTCTTTGAGTTAAGCAACATAAGCTGAATTGTCTTCAAGTAT